AGAGGGGGGTGGGCGGGGGAGATCGAGAGACATCACTGACCTAGGAGATCCGGGGGAATTTCCCCGCGAAATTGTTGTTTACTAGACTCACGGAAATGACCTCCAAGGCATTTTGGGCGATCTTTCTTGTTTTCCCCCTTTTTCAGGCTTTCCAAAAGGGTGGGGGGGGGAGGCGAGGCCGGCTTTCCCCCTCCCCTAAATCCACCGCCCCTGCATGGGACTGGAAGGCAAGCATCTTAAGTCACCAATTATAAAATATATCAGTTAATAATGATTTTTCAAACTTTTTGCTCAGACGAAAATCCTTGAAGCTATACTGGCAGAAATGAAAACTAAGAAAGAGAGAGTAGCTTGATACGATTGATAGGCCTATTGCGTTTAAGAAGTTAAATATTGTACTAAAGCAGGAAAAACATGTGATGGAAGTTTAATGTAAAGGACAGATATTCTGGGAATGAATGAGTTGGAATTAGATAAGTGCGGAAAGTGGGTGTAAAAACAAGTATGTGTGAACACGTGCAGAAGCTATTGTTGAACTAGAAGAGACGTGAAGGGGAGGGTTAGAACAAAGCTCCAAAGAACAGTGACCAAAAAGTATTTATAAAACAAAGAGTGCTCAAATTCGACGGCGATGTTCGAGAGACTGAAGTATGGAGCTAAAATCTCACAAGGAATTACTACCAGAGCAGGGGCGGACCCAGAATTTTTCAAACAGGGGAGCACAACAGTCTCAGAATAGGTAAGTGAGTAGCACATAACATTGATTTGCATTGAAAATTTTAAAATCTAGTGACAAAACGGGGTGGGGGCGCGTGCTCTCCTGTTCCTCCTACTGGATCCGCCCTGTACCAGAGTGTATATTTTTCTACACTTAATATACCTGATTAGGTCCATGAAAGCATAAGCTGTTCCAACAGATTGCTCCTCTTCTGTGTTCTCACTCACTTTTCCGCTGATTTCACCAGGTCTTATAGTTAAGACCAACAAGATTCCAAGAAAAACGGCAATGATAGTTGTTGAAACGTAGTACACAACCGCCCTGATGCCCAGCTTGCCGGACATCGATGAGTCCAGAGATGCTAGACTGGACACCAAACTGGAGAAAATCAGCGGCAGAATCATCATTTTTAACATACTCATAAAAATATCACCAGGAAACGATATGTAATCAATTTGTTCTGGGGTGAAATCAAACAAGCTGCCGAATAACCAACCAAAAAAGAAGCCTAAGATTACAGATGAAATTAAAAGAATTAGCAGAACAGAGTCTTTGCTGATCTTACAAAGATTTCCTTTCTTCTCTCCGCGTTTAAAATCATATTCGGCAGACGATAATCTGTTTTCCAAACCCATTTTCACGTTTTGCTACCTATGTATTGTGTGGTAAACAAGATAGGAAACCGCGACGCGTTGATGTAATCAGTTTGTTCAGGTTAGAGGTCCAATAATGTAATAGAGGCACTAACTCTATATAAAAGGGATAAACATCATAAAACGCTGATAAAGTTCAGAAGCTGAAGCTAGCTGGAGATATAACATTAGGTCGTGTAATTCATTCTTAAAGTTTAAATACCGTATGTATTTTTGTCGGTTACCAGAATAGAATGTGATTTTTGGTAGAAGGTGTCTGTACACAATTAATAAGCATCGTAAACCGCATGGTCATCGACGGTAGTGGTAGAAGGAAAATAGCATCACCTTTGGGATCTGACAACTTGGGGTAGTCTCAGTCTCCAACTTTAGTGTTAGCTTTGTGTAAATAAATTATTAGATGGTTGGTACTTTGAAAAAGTGGTGCAGGAGTCTCAAATTGGAGGAGAGACAACTGTATACACCATTGCAATATGGAGGAATAAGTCTGAACGTATTCTTCCATGATTTTACAGCCTATAGAAATTCATTCTTTGAATTAGCCATATTTCTGATCTGTCTAGATCGGACGATCTAGTAGTTTATTCCCACCACAAATACCAGTTTTCTGTAACTAACATCTGATTTCCCATCTATTCATATGCTGTCATATCACACGCACATTATATGGATACAACACAGGTAATTGTCACATGGTGTGATTCTGTGTAGATCTACACACAGTGGTGGATCCAGGAATATATAGTAGAGGGGACCCAGGGAGGGACTTTAGAATTTTAAAAAAATTAAGGGGGATGGGGGAGGTGGCTGCCCCCCCACCCTAACTTGAATTCGATACTGGTATAGGTCTACTTAAAAGAATAACAAGAATAATAATAATTATTATTTTTTATTGCCAAAAAAAAAACATAATAAAAGTTGAAGTTGCTTACCCCCAAATAATAAATGAAGTCACAACATAAACTATTTTAATGGTTCTGAATAACTTTTACTTTTATTTGGAGGTTTGTAATTGAGAAAGTTTAATGAAGGTTACTTATCATAATTGATTGTTATTTTAATTTTTGGACAAAGAATCACGAACAAAAGACCGCAAAATTGATTCTTTTTAAAAAGCGAGCTTTTTTAATCATGTGATATTTTGGTGTGCTGCAATTGGTTGCTTGTCGCTGTGCATATAACAAAATCACTTTTATTGTATACACAGCCGCTGTACGTATAGCCAGTCCCTTACTTTTTACATGGATACATTTAATGAAATTCAGTTATTCATTCAATCAATCAAATTATTGTTTTCCATTTGAGAGGAGTCCTTATCATGCAGCCAAAAAATAAAACACAAAATATCAGTCAACAATAATTCCTTGTCTTTTCAGCTCCTTCTTCTTCTTTTTCTCTTCTTTCTCAATATCCGCTAACATCTTTTGAAACCTAGGATTTCTTGGATCGATTGCATAGCCCATTTTTTCTTTAGCTTCCTCAAGCAACCTTTGCCTTTTCAATTTTGATGCTTCTTCTTGCGCCAATTTCTCTGCCTCCTTCTTCTTATATTCAGCAATTAATTTCGGCATCTTTTTCATGTTAGTTTCAATGATTTTTGCTCTACAATACAAAAAGAAATTTTTTTTTAAATTGCAATTTAAAAAAAAAAACAATTTGTCAAAAAATATCATAAAACATGTCTAAATATTAAAAATATCGAAACATCAAACCAGAGAACAGTGAAATTTCACTGTTCCCTGATTAAACCAATTAATAAAAATACAATATAATCAAAGCACTCTATATTTTTGCTCTTTTTACATGACCACTTTAAAATTGGTGCAGATGATGTACTAATTAAGACTATATTACATTAATTACAAATATAGTTTGCACTGTCTTAAATAAATGTAGACAGTGGCTATTGTTACACTAGTCTTAAATAAATTCATAATTCTGATTGGATGTCATTGTATGTATATGTATGGATTCCAATCAGAATTAGGAATTTAAAGATTGGTGTACCAATAGCCAATGCCCCCCAAAAACCCAGCTTATTACTTTTTAGTTTCTTCAAGCTCTCGTTTTTGTTTTTCAAGGAGCAGCTCATTTTGCATTTCTTGTAGGCTAGGTTCAAATTCCTTTTCTTCGGCAATCTGGGCCTCCAACTCTTCTTTTGACGGCCACATTAACCCAGGATCTACTCCCGACGAAGCACCTTCCTTTGCATACTTTTTTCTTATCAAGTTTAAACGATACTTTGGGGAAACAATGAATGATCTCGTATTAATAAATTCATCTACTTCCTCTATCCCGCCACCTGGAACCATCGAAACAGAGCTGCAAGTAAGAGGCCTGGCTACGCCGTGATGATGAGGGATAGGCCTAGCCCTAGAAACAGTCAACAACCGAGCTGTCGAATTTTGATATTTGTAATTAAGTTTTTCAATGTATAATGTCCTAAAAAGAATCTTTAAGCGTGTGCACGACAACATATTATTACTTGTTACAACCTTGCATACTATCTATCATCTGTTGGAAACATTTAGCTAGCATAAACCATAAACAAACACAGACGAGCCCCTATTAGGCTCCTCCTTAGCCTTCCAGCATTCAGAAAACACATGAGGAACCTGACCTGTGTTGATGATCTTGAAAAGGGTTAAAGTTCAACTTGTTTTACTCTCGAGAGGGCGTACTAGTCAATATCTGTTGCCAGTTTATAAGTTTCAATAAAATAAAATAAAATACTTATCTCCATAATCATACATTAATATACTACTAATTGTAGTAAAGTATGCTTTATCAGTTTTGTTTCAATATTCTTTGAAGTTAGAGTCCATATCTTAATTCTTACCAGTCCACAAATATATCAAAGTAGCTTTCTGGCAAATCTTTGTTATCCTTGATTGTTTTTGTTTTAGAAAAGTGGGACTACGTAATGGTTGACAATTGACACGGAAGAGAAGGGTAGAAAGTTATTGCCAAGAAAAATCAAAATGACTAAACTTGGCAGCAGGAAAAGTCTTCTAATTCCATCTACGACACTGATATTTATATTAAGTGCATGTTTTAGGTTAAATGCTGCTTTTGGATCATTTGATTCAGTCCTAGATGATGTGAGCAGTTGCTCCGAGACTTGCGAAAACACATACCCCATGCACACATACCCGGAGGTAAGTCATCAAGTTGTTGTTTTCCAGGCACGCTTTAAAATGAAAACAAAATGATATAGGCCTAGTCCTAGGTCTAAGTAATAATAAGCAACGTTTCTGGCTTTAGACGTGGCCAGACGTGAGTTCGATGGAGGTTGCAGTGATTTCAATTAACCTGGTTATCTTTATTTTCTAGGGAATTTATCTTTACTAATATAATTAAATTTGTATTTGCTATTTGTACGTACAATTTTTTTTAAACTTTATTTATTAATTGGTACCAGCAAAGCCAGTGGGTGGCTAATTGTGACGATATCAAGCAACTTTGGTCGCATGTCGCAAAATGTCATTTTTGAGATATAATAACCTAATGAATAAATAAGCATATTTTAAATTTTAAAATAGGGAAAAAATGTCAAAATCCAATTCCTAGATCCGAAGTTATAAAATGAGTTAAATATTACTATTTAATAAAAACAAGCAAAGTGGCCAAGCCATGGCCCAAAAATTGTCAGCTAATTAAAATATGCCAATCAGCATGCTGGTTTTGCGATTGTCATCAAGGAGACTTGGATTTGTATACAGAAGAAAACCCCTTTGTAAGTGGCTGAAACATGTGGTAATGAAATGACTGACCAAGCCTGACATTAGGTTGACACCGAACAAGATTGGTAAAACAGTAAATTTGTTAGTTTATGGAACGTTAAAACTTAAAGTGCCTTTGTTTGACATATTTCCATGTTCGATTGGCTAAACCTTAATCATTTTTAGAGTATTTTGGGACACTAATTATAAAAAATTCATTATAAATGAATCCGGTTCTTTGATACCTTCTCTATTGTTTTTGCTTATATATCGAAATCAGCTTGGCGACTGCGACTGAAATGGCTTGATGTCGCCACAATTGTTGTGGTCATTGTTGTCACCAGTTAAATTAAATTTCGATTGGATGTTTATTTATTGTTCTAATCAATCAGGATTAAAAGAGCAGCCAGCCCAGTCGGCTAAGGCTAAATAAAATGAATTGCTAGTTTTATGTCCCTGCTTTTTGGAGCCTCTTGAAAAGATTTAATATTTGCTATTTTTCAAAAAAACATTATTTTTCCATGGATAATAAAAATAATGACTATTTAAAAGAATGATGACAAGCCTAAAGCTCTATCCACACTATCAAATTTACTTTGACAAAAAAATGTGACAAGCCCATATATAGTAATGCTATGCCTATATATGGTCATGGTGTGATGTCACCATGCCCATATATGGGCATATCACACTTTAGAAGAGGTGGGAACACAAGTGGCAGAAATACATATTACAAAGATCATTTTACTTCTTTTATAAAAAAAATAAATATATTTACTATTTACCACTGTTTACCTTTACCTGTAGTATATAGTGGGATAGTAAAAAGCAAATAGTAAGTACCCTCACCAAAAAATTATTTCAAATCCCGGACGAGAAACTAACAGTTAATTTTATTTGGCCTAAACTGGTGGTAGCCACTGTGTGTGTGTGTGCTGAATTATGGCTGTAAAGATCTCTTGGTTGAATTCCCATCAGCGTTGCTACTCCCTTTGTGTTTCAGCTGGAGAGCTGAAATGCAAATTTCAAAAGCACAACTGCTTTCGGATGAGATGTTTAAGCCGTTTGTCCCGTATGCAAAATGGCTGATTTGCATGTTAAGGAATGCAGTACACACTTCAGAAAAGGTTGTCTCCCAGTGTACTGCACAGTTCACCACCAGAAGGACCCCATTGGAAGCAAGTCTTAGGACTGTAATGGGTTATCCTTGGTGTGTATTACACCAAAGAAATCCTATCCATGATTAGGAGTTCATTTAAGACTGGTGTAACAATAGCTACTGACTTTTTATTATATTAATGACATGATCGAGCACAAGGTACAATTTGCTGATTAAGCCTCCTATGTCCTGAATGTAGTCCTACAGTACTGTATGCTTGTATCTTTCGTTCAGTCTTTGTTTTCTAATTGATTTTGTATTTAATCAATAATGAAAGCATTAACCTACTGTACACTGAGTTTATGTACAAATAATATGAATGTCACTCCAAAAATTGACAGAGTGCAACATATAATATAATTGCCTTGTCAATTTTTGGAGTGACGTTCATATTATTTGAAAAGCATTAATTTTTATAATTTACAGAACGACAATTTGGTAGCATGTCAGCGTGGTTGTCGTCTGCTGTCTATTGTTGAATTTGCTGACGAGGGCATGACGGATTTAAACAATACTTTAACCACATGTGAAGGCGGTAGGTATTGTGAAGGATAAACATTTTTCGTTTAGAGTGCACGATTATATCATTATACATAAATATCTTGCTGAATTTTGAGTGTGTACTGTAGCTTGGTGGCTAAGTTGTTTGTCTTTTACAATACCAGAATGTCCTGGGGTCAAATCCTATCATAATCTTGATTCAATAGAAATCCACTTGATGTGTGACCTAATTATTTTTATGCAACTCAAGTTTGGATAAAAATGAAATGTATTCATAATAATTTAAAATGTATTTCCCTTAAAAAAAATGACATAAAAATAATAAAAAATCAATTTTAAAATGAACTTACAGTACATCAACTGGAGCATAATCAGTAATAAAGTAATTTACTTTTAATTTTAAATGATGGATGTCATAGAAACACTCTAGTGACTGGAAGTGTATCTATGATTTTTTTTATCATTACCGGTATCTGTTTTAAAAAATTATGGTAAACATTTGTTTAATGCAGGAAAATTTCCCAGGTACAAACCTCCCAAACTCCCTGTATCGATTGTAATTTGTGTTGATGACATCATTACAGCCTGAAGACAATCCAAGCAGGAAAAATGGCTGAAATGGAGGGTAGAAAAGCATTAAAAGAAAATGCATTCAATCACAATTTATACTTAGTGTTATAGTTTTTGTGAAGGTGCACTATATAGAATATCAACATTGAATGCTTTGCTTTGATCTTTAACAAAACTTTTATGTAAAATTTGTTACAGGTGTTACAAAGACCCCAGGATTCAGTATCGCTCATTTTGAGTTGTTAAATTTGAAGATTTTGCTTATGATTACTAATATTTTTGTTTTTTTGATTGGTAGAATTAGTCTAAAAGTTCATAAAAGTAAGACATTCAAGCAATTTTGTATTTATTAAATTTTATTAAATTAGCTTAATTGAAATGGCTACACAAGTTTCATTCAGTGGATAAAAAAAACACATAAAAATGTAGTATAAAGAATATTCTGTAGTTTGGGTTTCCGAAGGACTTTGCAATGTATTTTATATACCAGAGATAGTAAGGAAAATGGAAAATACCATAAATAACATGTAGAACAAATTAAAAATTTTAGTCATGATGTCCCTGTTTCTGTGGAATATAATAATATATAATTGTAACCCTGAAGAGGGGAGCAGGCACTCCCGAAAATTTGGTTTCTTAAATAAAATATATGCTTCAAAGTAGTCACCTTGTGAAGAATGTTATTTCTGTTCTGCTTACTTATT